AAAAAAAAAAATAGATTGGAAGAATGGAAAGAAACCGAAAAAAAAAAAAAGAAACTTTAAAAAAAAAATTTTTTTTTTTTAGCCCATATGTTTTATAATTGGTTTTTAAAACTTTTAGAATTTTCATTTTTGTTGCTTTTTTATTTTTTTTCTCAGCAATTTCATCAACAATTTTTAGATGTCTCTCTTTTTTTTTTTTTTTTTTGGTTTATTTTGCAGAATATTATTGCTAAAAAAAAAAATTTTTTTTCTTTATAAATCTTAAGGTTACAAAGCTTTTTTGCCTTCTTTTTTTTCTGGAAAGGTAAGTAAGGATAAGTTTTTATCTGAATTAATATGTACAGAAAAATTTTGCAATTTTTTCTCTTTTAATAATTTTATTCCAATAACAGTAATTTTGCAAAAAAACCAATCAAATTGATGTTTCATTTTCATTGGTGTCTGAAAAAATAAAAGATCAATTGGTTATTGACAAATTTTCACAGCTTTTCACTACTGTATACTTTCATTTCCTTTTGCTCCTCAAATTTTTTTTTTTTATAGTTATCATTTTTTTTCTGTTTCTATTAGCCAAAAATATAAAGAATTTTTTTTTTTTGATAACTAAAATTTTGTGGAAAATTTGATGATAGTTTTGCAGGTAAAAAATACTGTTGTTATTTCTTCTTCTGTTCTGTATTTTTTTTTTTTCGGGTTGAGTAATATTCTGACGGAAAAAACCAAAATGTTTTACGGTAATCAGCACCTAAATTGGTGAAATAAAGTGCAACCGATACGTAAAGTCTATATGATAACATAGAACTATTGACCTATAGTTATCCATCTATCTATCTATCTATCTATCTATCTATCTATCTATCTATCTATTCATCTATCTATCTATCTATGTATTTGTCTATATATATATATATGCCCCAAAAAAAAAAGCTTTGTTTTTCTGCTTTCTGTTTGAACAAAAATTATAAAATGGTACCTTAACTATGATTAGTGATGAAGTGATGGATATATATCTATCTATTGCTTGAAATTTTCACTCGTTTTAGTTTTCATGCAGAATTTTGTTTTACTTAAATCAATCAAAAAACCTGCTACAGATTCATGAAATTTTTCACTGAAA